ATTATTTTCAAAATTGTCACCTAAACTAGCATTAAAATCAACGTTCCAATCAACTGAGGGATAATCTAAATTATTTACTTGAACTTCATTTTCATCGTCTGAGAATTCAATATCAAGATCAGAAATATCTCCTTCCAACAAAACAATAATTTGGTCATCGCCTAAATTATCCATTTTTTTTTCAACGATGGGTCCAAATGGATACACTCAAATTTACTAAAAATTTAAGGTCAATACGTAAAATAAAAATAAAATGAAGTATTCGTAGTGAATCTTTACTTATTTAGCAATCAAATAAAATTTACAAATCTAAAAAATAATAAAAACTTAATTTAATATGATTTTCGGAAGTTATCAAATCTTTCGAAAAAAAGTAATTTAATTCTTATCATAATAAATATGATAAAAACATGAGTAATATTAATCATATGTTAAAAACAGTGGTACCATTTGATAAAACATAAAATTGTTTATATTTAATGGGTCCATTTGGAGTCTTTGAACTATTAGTATTGGAATAACATTTAAGAATACAATACGTATCCAAATGGACCCAATGGGCTGGAAAGGGTTAATTTAAAGACATTTGTGGGGGAAGGAATGTGCTTTGCAGTTAAGACCAAAAATGTAATACTAGTACCACTGCCTTCACTACTCCATTATCGAGCTACAGTTACAGTGGAAACATGCGGAATGAAATTATTAACTCATGTGGAACATTAATTCAAAGGCAAATTGAATTAAAACTTAATAAATCACAATGTTCTACTATACTTGCTGATGAAATATTAGATGTTGTAAGTATTGAACAGTTTTTAACTGTATCTGCTACTTTGATGCACATTTACTAAAACTTCTCAAAGTTTTTAAATTTTTGCTAAGTTACGGGAAATGAATTAGCCACAGTTATTTTAAATACTGTGCTTAAATGCTTAAATTTAAACTAATTAAGAGGTCAAGGATATGACGGCGCCGTTACTATGAATGACCGTATCAACTAAGTTAAAGCACATATAAGTGAAAAGTGTCCTTTTGTATTATACCTCCACTGTACTTATCATAGTTTGAATCTTGCTGTTTTTCAAGTCTGTAGTGCAAAAAGTGTTCACTATTTGGATCCATACATAACACAACAGTACTTTAAAAAAAACATTTAAAACAGGATTGCCTTGATTCAACACTTTAAAAAGATATATTTTATCTTAGAATCATCCTAAATATTAAAGCACAGAATTTCTTGAATTAATAAGTTTAAATTACAGGTACCCCATATACTAAATATGAAAATATATCTTATATAATTAAATCCATTGCTAAAATATTAAACATAAATACTAAAGATGACATATTGACATATTGATGATATGGCATTTAAGAACCCATATGAAAATAAAAGGGTTTTGTGTTTTTACACAACTTAACAATTACGTGTATATAGGGTGGTTTCATAAAGAACGCAGTTGTTAATTTTGCTATAAATCAATTTTATTTTATAAGAAATACATTATTAATGGTATATATTATTTGACTATGACTTGAGGTTTAAGTGTAAAATAAAATGTCGTGCATACGACCCCCTCTACTTGCTCGACACGCAGTGACTAGGTCCTTGAAATTCTGTCCCAGAAGTGTGACAGGCAGCACCGTCTTGCTGGAACCACATTTCTTCTGTGTTCATCTCATCCAGAATAGGCCGAAAAAAATTAGAAATCATGTTTCGATAACGATCTCCATTCACTGTTTCTGCATTTCCACGTTCATCTTCAAAAATGTATGGGCCGATTACTCCACCTGCCCAAAAGCCACACCAAACGGTTACTCGCTGTGGATGCATTTGTTTTTCCATGCTTGCCCTTGGGTTCTCATTTCCACACTAAAAACCTCAACGTTCATAGATGACAGAAATAAAAAGAATAGGGCCACCAAACAAACAACAAAAAATTACCCAGCATTTTAAAAACTGCGTTCTTTATGAATCACCCTTTATTAACTTGAATTGATAACTAATATTGAATTAAATTTTAATTCTTAACGTTAGACTTAATTTAACCTAGTTAAAAAATATCACCAACTTGTCCAAAGTACATTAAGATAAATTCTTAATAAGTTAGTTACTAGTTAGGTACTACATATAAATAAACATACAATTTTGTAAATAAAATGCAAATTTTGATTTATTTGTATATTGGTACATATAAATTACATAGTATATGTAATGCACAATCATATAGATCTAGCTATAATATATTCAAAGTTGTTATTAGTAATTAGATTTGATGAGAAAAACATATATCTATAGTCTATTCAGAATAAGAATGCCCACTCGAAGGTCCAAACTCGTTAGGTTCGCGCATGTTTGTTGCCACGGTGAGCGCTGATGTTTGCCGTCCCGACGCTACCGTGCCGCCGTGCACGTGCAACAAATGTTTATGTAGTGAACTACGATATTCCATCTTTTCGCTATAATGTACCATTCATTGCTTACGCGTTCATTCCGTGACATATCTAAACAACGCACTCCACTCAATTTCATTGAGCTTCCTTCGATAGGTATACGCTCTGTATTTTTTATTTATTGTTCTTCAACTATCAATATGGCAAGCAGTTGCAGCGAGGATGATATTGAATGTGCAGGCATTTCAGGCCCATCACCAATTAAAAGGAAAAGTGAATATTGTATGATGAATAATTACAATCAGTAGTGAACTGATTTTATTGTAATTACATATTTTATTTATAATGAGATTATTGGAATGAGATATTTTAAATATGATAAAAAATGTATACGATTTAGATCATTTTAATTGAAATAAAGCCAAATTTATTTTTCATATTTAGATACAAATACATTTTTTTACATATTTGGTAAATAAGTACATATTTTGTACATATTTTTGTAATTTTTTATTTTTCATGCCTTGTTCCGGAATAATATTCAAAATTGTATATATCTATATAATTTGTATTACTTTTATTTAATATTTATAACTATAAAATATTTAGTTTTTTGTAATTTTCAATACTGATACATTTTTTTATTATTTACATATTTTGGATTTTTTATTCCATATTTTAAGAAAAATTGTTACATGTATTGATTTTTTATTACAATAAAATCCATTCCCTAATTATCAGTTTTTATCAACTAGATTTTTTTTTTTTTTTAATTTTAAGTATTTCAATACACAGTAGGAACTTGATTCTCAATTAAAAAATACGTTTAAGACAAAATTATTATTAAGACTAATTTTTGTAATGTAAACATTTCAGATCATCAATTCAGATGTAAGACCCCGTATTGTTAATATGTATAAGAAAATTTTAATTGACCACCCTACCATATGCATGAGACAAATTCGTAAAAATATATCAGAAGTGTTAGGTGTCGGTGAACGTTCAATCAACAACATTATTATGACGAAACCTAGGCAAAATCGGTGGATTCTCCAATTCCGAAACCTAACAAAAAATCATTTCGTGATGAATTTGACGATTTTGCTAGAAATGCAGTTCGTAGACACGTGCATACCATAAGGTATAGTGGTATAGTGGTATCAAACAATACCGTGAAGAAGGTCGACACATTTATTTCCTCGACGAAACATGGGTGAATGCTGGGGACTGTTCATCGAAAGGTTAGGGTCGACACAACAATTACATCTCACCGTTTACCAAATGGTGCCAGTAATCCTTCGGGCAAAGGGAAACGACTCATTGAACTTCACATCGGTTCCGAAGACTGTTTCCTGCCTGGTGTGTTATATTATATAATGTTTCGAATTTAAAAAAATACACGTGACTACTGACCATGATGACCATGATGAAATTAATGGAGACACATTTCGTGAGTGGATGGTGGGGGTTAACCGCGACTACAACCAAATACCGTAATTGTTATGGATAATACGTCATACCATCCAGTGACAATAGATAGAGCCTCGACATCGAACACCAGAAAGGCAGACATCATAAGTGGTGGATACGGAAGAAGTCATAAACCGATCTATGGTTATCCCTCAACTTTTGCTCATAGTCAAGTGTTTAAAGCCACTGTATAATAGGTATGTTATTGATGAAATTGCAAAAGCTAATGATCACTCTGTATTACGACTTCCACCATATCGCTGTCAGCTTAACCCTATTGCGCTATTTTGGTCATCAATAAAGAACCACGTTCGGATGAACAACACAAGTACACAACCTACAAGCTTCCAGATGTGGAAAAATTGTATTAAATAAACCTAAGAAGAAGAGATCAAGTCGTATGAAGTTAATGACATTATAGATGAGGTTTTGTCCTCAGAAAAATCTGATTTATTGATGACTGTAACGGGAGAAACGTCATCTGAAAGTGATTCAGATTCTGAAAAATTTTTTGTAAATATGGAGGTAATTTTTTGTAAATGTGAGATTTGTATACATTTATTATTTTGTTTATTAGTATATATGATGTTGAAATTGTGTTTGAACAATAAAAATAAAAATGTTTTTGGACCCTTATGCACAGTTTATTATAATACGTATTACAATAGGTATTATTGAAATCGTGTTATTAATTATTATGATACTCATACAGCATGGCGGCGGCTGGTGACAGCGGTAGTCAACAATCACAGTACACCTGAATCTCGCCAGTGGGGTTGAGCCGTTCCGGCGGTTCAGTATGCATGCGCGAAAGTGGGCATTCTTATTATGAGTACACTTTACCTACCATTGCAAATGCAAATTTATTATTGATTATATTAAGTTAATTTTGTACTGATTCCAAACAAGTTACAAGAAAATATTTAAATGTTATGTTGATAATAAATAATATATGAAAACGTATTCTTAAATTAAAGACAAAACATAGTATAAGATAATCACGACTTTACGGCCATATGTTTATAATTAATTCGAAATCTTTGAAGGTATTCAGTAACGACGAATTTTAATGTTTTATGTTGATAATTAAAATACATCAGATAGGTATTATATAGTAAAATAAATCGAACTTCGACTAAATTTGTTATATAAAATATTATAAATACATTCCGATCCTGTTTTTTTTTCCTTAACTAATTAGTGGCGCTAAAACTAAGTAAATGGCATAATAGCTGTATGTTGAAGAAAATTAATTAAATCAATTAATATTATTTAACTTAGAGTAATAAATAAAATAACAATTCCCTTGCGATACAAATAGTATGCAGAAATCGTATTTGATAAATCTGACTGAATTAGAATTTGCCCAGGCCATCCATATGTCCATCGCCCATTTTAAACCATAAATTGTAAATAACCATCAACGTCTTGCAGTTGTTTGGAAGTAAATTTCGCAGAAATTACTTGCTTTCCGGTGAATTGTGGAGTGAATTTGAACGACACACTGGTTGTTTTTTTTGCACTGACCTTACTGCCGAATACAAAGTAAAATAATCACATCATTAGATAAATGTCCAAGATGAGGATGAAAAAAAATTGTTTAGAGGTGTTGTCTCCGTCCTACCAATTTACCCCATACCAAAGTTTTCTTCACTACTTTGAATAGTTTGCAGTTAATTTTGATATTAGAGTGAATTTGAGTAGGTATTATCAAACTGTTCGGTAAGAACATGATCCATGCTTAAACGTTGGCGGATTTTCAATATTTTCATTTTCAAGCAAGATACGAGTATGTGAAATAACAAAAATCAAAAATACTCATTTCTCGCTTGAAAATTAAAATATCCAAAAATACGCCGACGCTTAAGCATAGATAAATGTTCTTACCTAAAACTTTAATAATAAGTCAATTCACTTTAATATCAAAACTAACAGCACAATATTGAAACTAGTGAACGAAAATGTTCTATGTCGTACGACGTTGTAAGATGGAGAAAACAAATGCCCATGCATTATCCATATAACGTCCTCTTGAAGTCATTAACTTTCAAGAAATATTGTATAGGCAACCAATTTTATAAAATATTTGAGTGAATCAATGGAATCTCTGATTATGATTTTTTTTAATTCATTAAGTTACAATTTTTCTTATGGCTACCATTTAAATTTTTACACTCGGTACGCGTACCTATAAACTAAAACAATTCGCAAAAAAAGACTACTCATGCTAGTAAATGTTTTTTTTACTTTAGTAACATGTTGTGTTATATCTGAATGTCCACCATGTTCTATAGAAAACACTGACTTACATGTGGTACAAAATATTTTTCCTATTTCGTCAGCATCTTGTAAAAAAGGAAATTCTAATTTTAAATGTGGAGTGAAAACGCACCGTCTTTTGGGCATTTTGAAAACAAATTAGGTCTTATGGTACACTGAATTTTAAATAAACCACTTATCACTACGACTACACTGTAAATTTCATCTTGAACTCGACTCTCACGTATAAATATTAATAACAAATTATATGTATTTATAATTTTATTTAGATATAATATTATAGATATTATAAAATAAAAGTAGATATTATATTTGACAACAAACTGGTTGTGACGGATGGAATTGTACTTATTTAGTAGACGACGCCGCCACACATCAATATAATAATAATAACATTTTGTACGTTATAGTATAAGCGGTTCCCAATTAGAGTGACGCCACGGACCCCTTGCTATATCTTAAATTGATCCGCGGACCCCTTTTTTGTAAATACTTACTTTTCAATTTTATTTAATTATGAAAATCAAAAATAAATGTATACAATTTTTTTTAAATATGATTTAAATTTAAATTTTATAAACCCATTCGTTATATAATAGAAACAAGTTTTCTCAGAAAAATAATATATTTATAAAAAAAATTATTTGATTAATCACCTTCAAACTTTATGGGACAAGTGAAATCTTTCGGTTTTGTTCATAATTTCGTCTAAGTCCTGCTGCATGCCGGCTATTTTAACTCTTAAATCAGCGTCAATATTAAGTCTATTACGATATTGGTTTTCGTATAACAGTAGGTAGAAAAAGCTTGTTCACATCTATATGTTGTGCAAAAAGGTATCAAATGTCTTAAAACTTTCTCAGCCAGTTGCTTTTCAAATCATCATGATCAAAGATCATTTTGAACAATTAACCAAAAATCAAATAGTTTTTTATCGTTGAAAATATTTTTCATTTTAACCACTGATACATATGGTTATTCGTTTAATTTTGAAATACAATGTATAAAAAAGGACACTGCACTAATCGCTGACCAGTAATGACTGAGACTACTAACTAATGCTTTAAATGATATGTCCGAAATATATTTTATTGGTTAATGGAAAGAAAATAATCAGTATGGTTTCAAGTTCTGAACTATAGTAATAATAGTGTAATTGTGAAGATAATAATGATATTTATTTATATGAAAATGATTATCTATTTTTTTTGCGATAATCAAGTTTCAATAGTCCAAAAATACTCGGAATTTCATATAACTACAAAGTTAATAATTTGACTAAAATAAAATAAAAATATCACTACAGAACAACACAACCGCGGATCCCCTAAAATCAACAAGCGGACCACTAATTAGGAATCGATGAGTTATACCATTAGTATTTATAATCATTGGTTTAACGTTGCCGACAATGATGTGAAATTATTAGTTTTCTATTTTTTACCCGCAGCAATTATAATTTATTGTCAAGACAAGAATCTAAAAATAATTCTGATAAGTATAGATTTAAATGCTCTATTGAATTATAATATTGAATTGTGTTAAAAAATATCGTTGAAAAAAAAATTCAAAAACTTATAAATTAACAATAAGTAGAAAAACGGTACAATCCCGTATAATACGGGATGTATGGTCACCCCATGCTAATATAACTTGTAAAAAAAAATGAACTGAAAATCGAATACCAATTACATTTGCAGGTATTTATAATTCAGATACATTTTGTAATATTTTATGTAACTAGCCCATCTCTGTATTCATTAAAATTATAAGATAGGTACACACTTTTTGAACTTTTCATGTTCGTGTGATAATAATATAACTGTAAGGGTATACCGTATACATATAAATAACTTTAAATAACGTTTAGTGATCCTTAAAAAAATCAGCTAGGTAAGTTGGCTTAAAAAAAATATTATTAAGGGAAGCTACTTACCCAACTTTGATTTCCAGAGTTTTAGGCAACGATGAACCAGCGATAAAAAATTTTCCATCTTTCAAAGACAGGGGCAACGGATTTCTAAACTTAACAGTAGCCCGTACTTCACGCGACATGGCAGGTTTATCATGCATCTGAAGGAAAATAATTTATTTAAACATTAGTGTTATTTTAATGATTAAATTTACATAACATAAAATGATTAAATTCATAATATTATTACATTGGTATTAATGCAACAACACTCACTTCGAATTCAATATCTGGTTTTCTGACCCTAAAGTCGTCTTGTCCAAAATACTCGTAGTCTGTGTCAACCACGCTAGCTAGACATGATATGTTGAAAACATTTTGGCTTTTTACGTCATTACCATAATCAAAATACGTCAAAGCGGTTTGGACAAATTCAACGTTTGATCCTGTTGAATATGTTCCGTATAAAAATATGTTTTTATAATTGATATTATGATTTAAGTTTGTATTCAAAGTTTTATTTTAAAACCCTTAGGCAGAAATCAGGTACAATTTTAAGATGGAGAAAATTACCACTTAAAATACTTAATTACAACAAATAATGTACTCTTTCATTTGAAAAAACTTTGTACAGTTTCATAATTCTATACATTTTGTAAATTTAATAAATATATATAATCTCGAAAATTTTCAAAAAATGTTATATCTAAAAATACTAGGTACAATTGGTACATTTCCCTAACACTACTACTTTTGAATTCTGAAAAACCCGGAGCTTTCGATTGTTCTTTTTTTATTTATGTTTGTTTTGTAAATCTCGTCGATGGTTCCATCCCTATACGAGATGTATAGCCTATTTACGTGGGGGGTGCCTAGGAAAATCTAGCCCTCATCTTTTGAGTTTTTGAACCAAACCCACATATTTCGTCTGTTCTTATTTATTCCATCCGAATTCCCGGCTTATGGCCAATTAAATGTGGGGGTGACAATGCCGTCACTCCCACTTTTGAGTTTTGGATACGGACCCGATGTTTTTGATTGTCCTTCGTTTGTTTCAAAGAATTCGTCGTTCTTTCTCAACTTTGCAAAACTATGCTAGAAATTGAATTAAATGAAAAAGTATTAATTTAGTAAAAAGATCTAAATTGGATAAAAAGCCAAAGTGAAATAAAAATGCCAAATTTAATAAAAATTCTAAAATTATATTTTTATTCATCTTAGATGTTGTATTCTACGGTTTTTTGTTCAATTTGCCATTTTTAACCTAACCTAACTCCCATAGTAAATCAGCCATAAATTCGGACGGTCATAGAACAAGTGACCAAATTTTTGGAACAAACGAGAACGAAGAACAATCGAAAATGAGGGTGCCAGGGAAATGTACCTATAAATACTTATATTTTTTAATTTAACAAAAAATATCAATTTTACTAACTGATGTAATTAAATTCAATTTTAATCGTAGATCTTAAAACTTTTCAGTTTTCACCATATCTTAATTACAATTTTTTATAACACTGAAATTAAAAAAAATATATTTAGTTTAATTTTAAGCTATTAACACTTTATATAGTAAAGTGTCTAATTAAGTAATGTAGTTTTTATTGTTAACGTAAGACATTATTATTAAATTCATGCCATAGGCTAAGATTGAATGGACAAATATGAAATGTTTTATGAATGACAATAAAAATTTTACTGAATGGAAACACTAAATTTAACATCTACCAATAATTGTCCATAACAATTTTATTCAGGGGGACGAGGTGACAGTGGTCTGACGCTTCCGCTGCGACGCAGCCGGTCGCGGTTCGATCCTTGGCCACCGGGTGGCATTTTTCTCCGGACAAGTCGTGGTGACCGGAGAACAAGTGCTGCCATCCCCCACCCCCGGGGCATGCAGAAACCTACGCACAGTGGTCTGACAAGTAATTTTAGCTTGCCGAAATTAATATCATCTTTAATTTATTAGATATTACTATTTAATACATCAAAACATATGTATTCGAAGGCAACAAATCCAAATTTGACAATATTTTTTTAATTCAACCCATTATTATTAACATTTTTGATATTTTAAAAAAAATTTTAAAAATTATAATTTTTTTTTTTTTACGATAATTTATTTTCGTTCAAATTTTTAATTTTGTAAGATTTATTCAGAAAAAAAATGGATTTTACATTACATACACATCATAGTTAAAAAGGATGCTTTATTATTTAATGGATTTAGTGCACAATGGAATAATAAACTGTTTTTTATATACATTTTTACTTTATTTATTCAATATTTACAAGGTTTTGTGCTTCATCGGAAAGCTTGAGTATATTTTTTTTTAGTACGTTACGTAAACTTGATATAACTGGATCCGATGATACACATAACATATGTACAAGATCTTCATTATTATTGATCCTAGAATTTTTTCTTGAATGATGTTGTCTAAATATCTTAAAATCCTTATTTCTGCATTCCTGAGCTTCCTCGGATAATTGACCTAATAGTTAATATATAAAATAATAAGCTTGTACGAATGTAATATAAATATTTTGAGAAATTACCAATTGGAAGTAGTGCGTGTTGAATAACATCAGCACCGTGTATTAATATTTTATGTACACTCGCGGGCATGTAATACCATGGATATAGAGTAATATAATATTTTGCTGTATCCAAACAATAGTTCTTAAATGATTCTGTATCTATTTCGTAACCACTAGCTAAAACCATCAGTATATTTCCAAATTTTTTAATAAGTTCTTCATCTATATTGGTAATTTTGGCAGACTTTTCAAAATTTTTAAAAAATTTTCTTGCTGTATTACCATCGTTTGTCGTACCATGCCCTGTAACAAAATATTATTTATTATCTAAATATTGTTTAAATAATCTTTCAGTTATTTTTATTTATACCTTGCAAAACTATATCGACTAAAAGACCCATTTCAGATCTAAACTCATCTTGAATCTTTTTTTTTTCTTTCCGAAAATATTTTCTTGTGTTCTTCCGATCTAAAATTATGTTAAGAAAAAATTATCCTAATACATTTATTCAATATGAAAACACGATTAAACAAACTAACCTGACTTGCCAACTTTTAAAAGGTAAACGATAGGATACGTGCAGCAAACATTCAAAAAAACGTATCCAAGCATGTAGTGTTGATAACCCGAACCTAAAATTATCGGAGTTAATTTTAATTTTGCTTAGTTTATCTATATCGTTTACATTTTTTGGCGTACATCCGCAAATATAACAAGACTGACTTGATGTACTTGTCAATGAATTACATACCTGAAATATACATCAATTTAGAAAAATTTTAAAAAAAAAATTAAAATTAGAATAGAATCCGAAACAAAACTTGTTTTTACCTTTCCATCGACCATTGAAAATATGAGTTTATGCTGAATATTTAGATTTATGCCATTATGTGTAATATTTGTTGCTACTAATTTGTTAATTTGCATTTCTATATCCTCTACTTCTTCTTTAGTACTTTCCTTAGTTTCTTTTTTAAATAGGAACTTTATTGGCCGGCAAAATCTAGTGGATGATGGTCGAGGATTTTCCCAAATAGTATAATTAATATTATCTTTTATTACGTGTAATTGAAGTGGTACGATTGAGAACATAAAAATGTCATGATCAGTAGATGATGGTGAATGTGGTTGATTAAAATGTATTCTATATTGAGACTGACCACTGCTACCATCACACCCCCACTTGTATAACATTTCTAAATTATTCATATGTGATTCAATTGGTCTAATATGTTGTGGGATTTGTATGATTCGATTAGTTGTGTGG